TGGATATCACTGCGGCACCACAAACACAAACATCACAACATTCTCTCTACTGGACGCTGACGAATACGACTTTAACACCGAAACCATAAACTCAACAATAGCAAATATAGAACTTATCCAAGCAGCCGAATTTAGAAATATTCCAGTACATCAATGCAAAATTGAAATCCATCGGACAGTATACCAATGCGGATTATTCGGACGCCTCGAACCTGAACAAAACGGAGAACAGGAATACTTGTATGAATTGAGCCATGAACAATGCCGAACTATCCACGAAACGAGAATTTTTAAGTATGACAATTTTCATACGATTGCCGATTTAAAAATAAACGCCACAACAACCAAGGGCATAGACTTCGCTGGCGATGCAGGAAGCTGCAGCGGCGTAGCCTACGCAGACAGGTTTGGATCATGGAGTAAGGTACTTGTTCAAGGCACAATTAAAATCACATTAATACAAGCCTATGCGAAAATCTGTCTGAGTAATGACAAATTACATTTAAGCTCAGGAACGATATGTAAATTTTCTCCCCTCACGAATTCGCATACATCATGAAGAAACCTGGATACATTGCCAGTATCGCAGGAGAAGCAGTTCATGTCATAAAATGCACCCCTACTGTAGTGAAGGCACAGCACCTTAACGAATGCTACAATGAATTACCAGTAATTTCAGGTAACGAAACCTGGTTTCTTACTCAAAAAACTCATATCCTCAAAAGAAGAGGTACTCCAATGAACTGCAACTCCATAATACCTACATACTACAAAGTAAACAGCAAATGGATAAAACTAACACCCAAACCAATAGAAACAATACCACCACAAGCACTCAAACCTAACACAAACATAAAATGGAAATTTGAATCCATAGATTCATTAGCAACTAGCGGCATATACTCACAACAAGAATTGGACCAACTACAACAACAAATAATGTTCCCCATGGAAAAAGCATCTCTGTTAAACATTATAGCTAAAGAAATATCAGGAGAAGGAACAACAAAGGACATTTTTACAGAAAATACACTTACAAAATTGGCTGAAAGCACGTGGAATCACATATTCAACAAACTAATCACGTGCGGATCAATCTCATCAGTAATCATAATGATATTAATATTACTGCAAATAATAAAATTGACGATTGACACCATCATCAGAGGATATACGCTGCACATGGTTTATGGCTGGTCTATGAACCTACTATGGGCCTTCTTCAGCTCAATAACCCACCTGCTAATGATACTAGGACGACAAAATCATGTAAGTATGACAACAAATAACAAACAAAACGTAGAAATTCAACTAGACACAATACACACAAACCTGAACGACACAGACGTCAAGATACAAATTTACCCCGATACCCACTGTCCTATTCCACAACAAAACTTACCTCTCGAATCAACAATAATCAAATACAAACACGACCTATTTTCAACAAAAGTCTAATTGTCGTGTTGTTCAGTACCCCAAATGCTTTACGTCATGGCCACATTTTAAGCGGGGAGGGAAGCGAGATATTCGCTTTAGGAATCTAAATTAAAAACACATTCCTTATCTAAAAAACAAAAGAAAAATATATTTTTACAAAATTACAATTATGTTTACAAATATAATTACACTTATATACAATTACAATTATATCGATGATCTACACTTGGACCTATGATTACATTATAAAACTCACTAAAATCCTCCACACATACTCGACGAAAACCATTACCAATACACTAACAAATCATAAAAAAATAATTCGCGAAGATTCCAAGTATCTTCATCTGGACCGTACTCCCCCAAGAAGAAGGCCGTCTACGTCACTCGATCGCAATGCCTCAGAGTACGCACTAACTTCCATCTCTGAAACTAACAAGCAAATAGGAAACAAATTAATCAGACATATCAATATACCAATATACAAACATACATTGTAAAACACTTACATCTATTCTCACATATTTTCGGGTCCCGGGCTTAAGCGCGACTGGTAAAGGCAAGCCTTCCCGGCTGGCTTTCTTTGCCGCACGGGAATACTGCCAATCCGCAAACTAGAATAAAGAAATATAATGATAATAATAACAACGAATAAGAAATCAATTTGTAAAATACTTACGCAGACCATCGAATGACGCTTCCTTGGAAATCCAAACATTGTAAAAATTGAACTGTACAAAGTCGAGCAACCGCGCTCCTCATATACTAAATAAATGCACACACCGCAAAAATTTCTGTATAAACCGCTAGTAGCTTTGAATTTCAGAAGTATTTTTATGCAAACATTGCAATATCTTAGGCCCTGGGGTGTTACGTCTTACGACGCATCCTTTTTATAAAATGCACATCCGCGAAATTCAAAGCTACTAAACTATTCGCACGTCAGCAAAAAGCTAACTAAACGCGAGGTAAATGACTCTCCGAAATTAAGCCTTTCGACGCATCCTTTTTGTAACATATGCACATTCAAAACTGCTAAGCTATTCACACGACAGCAAAAAGCTGTCGAAACACACTCCGAAACTAAGGCACCAAAACGCAAGAATTTATAATCAGCGAAAACAAAATGTCACACAATATCGCAATACTGACCTGAAAAGAGCTATAAAAGATATAAAAAGCAATGAACAAATTACCCTCAGCAGTTGATCAGTAGTCCGTCAGTCAGTCAATAAGTACCTGTAAGACTCAACTCCGTACACAGCAGTCCGACAATTGATGATCATTTTACTTAATAAACTCGCGACTGTTACAAAGTAATATCGTGCAAGTATTATTCAACAACCTATCCTATTCAATTCAACAAGCAGTTAGAGCCTGCTACATTTTATCAACAATTAAAAGCTACGATTATCAAGGTAGTACAATTATCAGACATACATTTCCACATACATTTATTATAAGTGAGACATATCCAACCACTAGTCAACATATTGGAACGTCTCATTCATTAGCTATTCGTAGTTGATGCACGAGATGTAACACTATCATCGCATCTTTCACACGTAATACTCATCGGGTCTACGAACATCGACCTATAGCGTAGTTTACAATATCTATATATACATATAGATATACACTGTGGGAGTATCTCCTCCGCGCTTAGCTAGATAACCCCCCCTCCCCCGGACTAACGAAATAACAAATTTATAAATTCATATTTATTTATAATATCCATTAGTAAATTATACATAAATTTAATAATAATATTCCATGGTAAACAATTTTGATATTACACATTATCATGTATTAATTGTTTGAAAGACATTCGCCACCACGGGAGCTCCCCGACTTGTATATATAACCGTGCTTATAGTATAGAAGCTAATATATAAATTAGATTTCTTTATAACAATAAATATTAATGACGCAATTACAATATTGATAAGAAAGTATAAAAAAGTAGGTTGTATACGTGAGTTAGTAGCAGCAGGAAACGATCAAAATTGAATTTTATTACGATCCTTATTAAATAATAAATAAAAATGAATGTAAGATTAACCTACAGTTAAAATTGACCTGATGATGCAGGCACGTTTTTGCAATATTTCTTTATAATAGGGTAAACGATTATAAAGCTGATAGATTAATTATTTTATCAAACATAATAGAATGATTTAAAAATTCATAATATTTTGAAATCATGTCCACTATCTAATTTAAGTCTAAGGAAAAAATATGATTCTAATAAAAGTAGAGAGGGGGCGGAAGAGGTAATGAAAAATATGTGTGGAAAAGGGTGAAGGGGTTTTTGGGCTTATTAAAAAAAACGAAAAACGTTACATTTCAATCTACAAGTACCTTAGAATAGCCATTAAAACGTTATCATCTAAAGTAGTGGGGGGTAAAAGGGCGTGGAGAGGGAGCGAGGAGTGAAGTCGTAGAACTTTTAATATATATATTGCAACGATTACCGAAAATCGTTCGACTCGCGCAAGGTTAATGAGCGGCTGAACGAGAGAAGCCGCGATCGGTTCGCGAGAGAGAGAGGGCGCGTAGGGGCAATGACCGGGAGGGGAGCGTTCAACAGGCAGTATGACTGTGTCACTCAGTCGGCCTACATCGTAGCTAACCCTTTTTTCGAGCCGTTGTCGCGTTTTCCGTTGGTGGTGCGAGGTCAGAGGTGCGAACTTTGGTGCGGTGTGCTGGGTGCAGCAACAGCAGCAATAGCAGTAACAGCAGCGGCAGCAACAGCAACAACAGCGATAGCAGCAATCGTAGCAGCGGCAGCAACAGCAGTAATAACAGCGGAGTGCGGCGAGTGGCGGAGCAACAAGTTAGCGACGCGTATATCGGATACGGTTGGCCACCGTATCCTCATCGTTCTCGTGGTAGGTGCACCTTTCCCTTTATTATTGTTGATAGCGTGCGATCCCGCGCAGCGTGCGCGAGGAATTTAATTGTTGCGTGCGAGCGGTTAGTTCGCGGTGAATCGCGGTTTTCTCTCTCTCTCTCATACAGCGTATGTTGTCATTCGCGCTAGCGTGCGCAAGACTCTCGGCAAATCCCCCGTGTACTTGAATTGCATGAATAAAGTGAACGTTAGTCTTTACTTAATCTAGTCATCGTTATTTTGTCTTTCCTTTGTCTGGAGGTCGCGTCTGTTTACATTTGATTCGAATTAGCCGGTAGTCTGTCACGGATCGCGCGGAGGTGATGAGAGGCGCCCTGCAAACATAGTTTCCAGCAGCGGCCGCGCGAGCGCTACTAAGCAAGGGCGACAGCGCCGCCAAGCGGCGAGTTGGGGGAACCCAACTCGGAGTAGCGAAGAGACTCTGCGCAGGCGCACTCCAAGACAAGGTAGGTTGATGTGCTTCGAGCACATAGATAACTAGGCGTCGTTTAGTCATTATATAGGTACGCTCAAGAGATATTATAGACTAAACGGCAGCCTGTTACAATATATATATATATATATATATATATATATATATATGAGTATATGGAGATATATATACATCCATTAATTTATTTATATAATAAAGTAGATTATTACATACCTAGTGATTCTTCGTCTTTCCAAAAAACTAGGTGATCCATATCTGCGAGGAATAGAAGGAGAACGTGATTTACTTGATTCAGACAAAATGTACCTCGACAATCGACTTGAAACTGATGATCGTGAAGAATACGAAAAGCTCCGTCGATCCCGTGGAATTGTACTAAAACCAAAGTAAATACGATAATCAAAATTTACGTATCAATTGAGATTTTCTATGCCAATTTGACTTTTTTCAATTCGTAATCAATACTAACGCATATAATTAAGAAATTTTCGTGAGTCACAATTTAATATTTTAAGTTATTTTAACTAATGTACCCAAATTTCTTAAAAATGGTTAGCAGTAACGAAAAATATTTGTGATAAGTTATTTAACTTTAAGGGAGAGATATTGAATTTTGTAATTGACCTTAGAGATCATTTTAGAAAGGAATCTGTACGATTTTACTCCGGAAAATGCGGGAAATTCTACATTCAGATGAGATAACATATGAGGGGTCTGAGCGACACCCTAAGGTTACGAAGAGGCTAGTTTTATTTAAAAAATTTACTCAACTTCTATGTGGCTTTATTCTCATAACTTATCGTTTACCTTTAAGGTCATATTGAAGGTCATTCAAAGAAGATGTTAAGGATAACTTTCTTTGTAGGAACCCGAATTTAATAACTGCAAACTCAGAAACAGTTTTTAATGTTCAGGAAAATCACATAAAATTCATTAAATTTTATGTTTAGTAACAACTGAACATCCTCAAGTCATTAAAATTGCCAAAAAAATTAATCTCAATATACTTAACTCCAAATAGTTTCACATCGGAGTTAATTTTAGAACAGATTCAATTTGATTACAATAGTGATTACAGTGACTAATAATATTTTATAAAAGGATAGAAATGAATATATATATATATATATATTAATAAATTTGATATTAATTATTTATATATAATGCAACGGTAGTCGATTCGATCAATTGATACGTTCGCGATTCGGTAGCACTCGTGATGCTAGAGCGAACGATTAAGAGAGAGAGGAGGCGCGCGAGAACTTAAGTTCAGTATAGCTTCAGCTGTTTGTTAGAATACCGCCAAATTTTTCCCCGTATTTTTCGTGCGTTTTCGTTGTCCTTCACCGAATGGAAGTTTTGGATTTTTTTTGGTATCAGTGTGGGTGTTGGAAATGGGAGAGCAGCAACAGCTACTTTGGCACTAGCTGACAAAAGTAGCTCACAACAGCAACAAGGCAGCAACAACCGATCTCTGTGACCGAGGCAGTGCAGCAGGTTCTACAAGAACTCTATTATCTTAGTTAATAAACGGTTACGACTGATCACCGTAACCGCACCGCAGGGTAGGAGCATCACATTAATTTTTGTGTGACGCTAATCATTCCGCGCGTTTATTTGTGAGCGACTGTTACCCTTTTCGCCTTCGCGCCGAGCGTTAGATTTGGCGGCAGAATTTCGAATTCTCTCTCTCTCTCTCTCCCCCCGTATAATTGTAAATCCTATACGCGTGTGCAAGTCTTTCAGCCCAACAAAGACTAGCTTTTATAATTTATAAACGTCTTGATTTTATTCTCCGCATTACGTTATTTCATTTCCCTTTAGTTTAACGGATTCGTCACCGGTTATTTTTTAAACCGATTTCATCTATTGAATAGTTGAGGTAAACACACCTGAGATAAAGCAAGTGTCACAAGTCAGGTGACTTAAGGTAAGTTCAACTCTGTTGGAAAGAAGACATTGGAGCGAATGTATCAAACGTAAAGGCGAATACATGTATGCTCATACGTGATTAACGGAGCGACGGTTAGCTCTGCATAGTGGTAAATTGTTCTTTAATAAACCCAATTTGCATCAGTTAATCAATCCCGTTACAATAACAATTAACCAAAAACACAGGTCAATAAGGATTTATCGCAAGAACAATAGCAATGTATCACGAAGGTCTTTGATGCGATGAATCTGAATTCGATTTCAGAATTTTTCTATCAGGTCAGGTTTTTGAGATATCGTAACCTACAAATAAAACAACTGTTTTTCGTAATTTTTGAGTTTATATTACATCATGAGCTAATTTTTTTTCTTAAAAATGAATTTAGTCATTTAAAAATATCACTCTGACTCTTCAAAACTATAAACTGTTACATATTTTAGGTTACTTAATATAAATTCCATGACAAAATTCTGACATAACCCAAACTTTGTGATCTGCGACAGCTAAGCCCAAGACAAGTTAACCTAACTCCTCTGCAATCTGCGAGAGCTAAGTCCATATAATTTTCAGGTGTCTTGTCATTAATTTTTGGATTTGTGAAACCTTTTTCTCTTCACATTTAAGCTTCTTGTTTTTAACTTTCTCTAGTGCCCTACTCCATAATTTTCATATTTCAAATTCCAGCTGTAATCAGCCAATATATTAACATTCTATCAACTTTGATACTTTTTTTCGATCCCTTAATGTTTTAGAGAAATCTTTTTCCTTACTCTTCGCTTAGATCTCCAAGGCTTTCAGGAAAATAATTTAAATGAGAGTTTCAAAAGTTTATCTAACGATTACCTTATAATTTTCTACTTTTGTGCTGCCCAAAGACCTTTTTACAACCGCCTTGAAATATATCTATGTAGTTCGCTCCATTTTCGTCATTGTACTTTCAAGATCTTCCGATTTCATTAGCTTTCTTATGACTGGGCCTGTGAAGTTTCCTTTTCTTATCTTTGCATCAGATAATCCTGAGAATGCATTTAAAAGATACTTAAAGCATTTTCTATTCTTATGCAGTGCTTTGACGAATTGTTTGAATTATAATTTTATGTGCAAGGATGGTAAAAGTATTTTTTATGGATCACAGAGCGGTTTCTCGAGAACATTGAATGATCCCGGATCAAGACATTTGCGCAATGGCTAAACAGATTTTTCCGAATGATCTTCAGTAGCTCTATAATTCCACAAATAAATCTAACGAGGGACTTTTGTGTACCCTGATTGCTGATAAGAAATATAGTTATTATCTTAAAATCACCGTGTACAAAGTTATTCACAAGGTTTATAAAAAACATTTTCCGAATCGATTGCCCTTTTCGAAAAATTTTTATTTTCAATATTTTCCGAGAAAATTCAAGATTTCGACCGATCAGAGCGTCGCTTTGCCGAGCACAGCTTTTCTCCTTATTTACTACTATTTCCACTACTCAACCCTGGCAATGGTCGATATGGCATGGCTTTGCAAGTCACAATTATTTGGCATAGAAAATAACATTCAATAAATGTAGAAAACTTGTATTTCTTAAATTATATATCATCTAAACAATATCATATGCCAAAGATTAAGAAGAAAAATTTAATTATGCATACAAAAGTATGAAAACATATATATCGTCTTTATCTATTTTTTTCAAAAAACGTTTACAGAAAAGCATACACTTATTGATAGTTAGGTATAAAATTGTATCGATGATGCATTTCAAGTACCAATAGTTCAAATAGTCGAAAAATTATGTATAAACAATTTTTAATTATTGCGTACAATACTTAAAAAGCAAAATGAGCCTTTGAAAATTAATTGCGGCTCTGCTATACGAGTATAACGTAGCGCGCTGTCTAGATTATTATTTTATAATCCTATCACACAGAAATTTTCGTTTTTTAATTATGACAGACGTAAATCAATAAATTTAGTCATTAAATTTCAAATATTTTGCTGGTAAAATAGTACTGACAAATTTTTCAGCCTCTTCTTTCTTGTATTAAAATTGATTAAAGGCAATGGCTACAATTATTGATTCATAATTTTAATATTTCAATGATGAAGATGTAAATGTATAAAACATAAACTTTGTTCGAATCTAGATTTAGCGAGTGTTTCAAACTCGTATAGTAGGAACTAAATATGTAAAATAAATAAATTCATCAATCGAAGTGTTTGAATAATTTAACGCATATTTCATTTTGACATTTACATTAATTAATTGATGTAAGATAATAAATAAGGGAAAAAATATAAATTATAACGTTTAAATAAAATTCTATTCTAAATTTGAATATTTTCAACTGTTTTCACGAGGTTTTTTCGTGGTTCGCATTTGATCGTTTTGCAATTAATTTTTATTGCGTTACGTAAATATGGGTGATCGTGGGCGAGATGAAGGTCGAACTGGTGGTCGAGTTGGTGGTCGTAGAAGAGGTCGTGGCATGTCTTATACTGGCGCTGAGTATACAGAGATGTTGATTACGTCCAGTCAAGCTGGTCACAATGCCAATGCTGCAGCGGAATTGTACACATTGAATTTCCTTCAAAGAAGGCATCCAAATTCAAATGTATTAGATGAAATTCGACGCGGTCATGAAGATGGAAATCTAATTCCTGTAGCGGATTCTGGTGCTAATCATGAAGTAGTCGATGCTCTTCGAGGCGCAAGAAACGTTAAAAATGAAGAAGCCGTGTTTGACTGTCTCGAAGAGGATCTAACGAAGAGCATCAGAATGGTCGCAGAAATACTGGACTGGAGATATTCCACAGTAAGTAAAAATTTATAATATATTTTTTTGAATATGTCATATTAAAAATAACTCCTCCGCCGTTCTAGAAAACTTTGGACCTTACTAAGATGTATCGTTTGGTTTGTACATTTTCGTATGTTTTTACCATATAATTCGAACGAAACGTGGATATGCGGTGAATCGAGAAAATTTTTTTTATTATGTCCATGTTTATTTACAATCTGCCTCGCATACTGAGACAATAAGTAAATTTAGTTATAATTTAGCAAGAACATAAATGATTTTTAACACAATACTCCATTGAGTATTCTGTTAAACAAGATAGTTGTTCCATTATTAATTTATTCATTTATGTGCTTAATATTTTCTGTTTCTTTAGTCTGGTATTTGTAATGGATGTTAAAGAACGTGAGAAGCTTGTTGATAAGTTGATTTGTGTGATTTTGAAGTCTGAAATTATATTATTCGTAGAGTGTTTTAATTTCTTCTTTGACTGATAGAACTTGTAGATTTTTTCTAATAATTTCATTTGTAATGAGCCATAAGGCCAGTACTATACGAGTACTACGCAGCACTATCGACTGAAATCTTTTCAGTATTTCAATATTCGAATTTGCAGCAGCACCCCATAGCCGAATATCATGAGTCTAGATTGGTT